GGAAGTCATGTGGCGCACCCCTTTTGCTGAGGGCTACGCCACCGGAACCTGTCCATGCCGAGAAACGATCCAGGCACCAGAGCAGGAAACTGGTACTATGCCGAGACTTGGTACACAGGAGGGCAGGGACACCGTGCCCTCACACACCGCGCCCCCGGAGTTTATCCCTGATGATCTCGCCCACCGGTTCGGCCTCTACGACCGTTATTTCTAACCCGTTGAGCATGATAATGGCTCGTCGCATCCCTCCTAGCGAGTTCCAGTTCACCCGTTCCCCTTGTGGTCCAAATATCTCCGCCTTTAATGACCTGGTACACCTTCTTTTCAGAATATTATGGTTGAGCCTTGGGCACGCACGCACATAATGTCCTATCGCTGTACAGTACTTGCATTGCTCGTTAGCAGGACCTCTCCGTCCGAATCCCCGATTTGCTACACCTGGCGGAACCACAGCTTCCTGGGGAGGGAGGGCGGATCGGGATACTTGCGCCTGCATAACCAGTAGCGCGCCTTCCATCCTTTCAATCTTATTGTCGACCCCGTGCACCCGTTCATGTAGACTTTCAATCCCCTTCTTTACCTTGTCGCCCGTCCTACCGGTCAGATCTATGATCTCTCGTTCCTTGAGCAAGGCCAACGTCTCTGTTACTACCGTTTTCTCAGCCATATCCGTTACCGTGCTAAAATCAACATCCCGCGTGTTTACGAACTTGCTCGTCTGTTGGTAAGCTGACAGGATCTTGTCTTTGTCGAACTCGGAGAACTGCCTAAGGAAATATTTGCTCATTATCCGGTCCGTGCCCCCGGGGATCCTTAGTGCTACTAGAGTAAATTTCGGTAGGAAATCATTGTACGTTGCGAAGTTCTTCCTCTGAACTGCCGCTAGGTCGGCCTACGTTGCCATTTTCTCTGTCGCTAGGTACTTCCTCATCATCACATCCCGGGCCTCCTTCCAAGACCGACTTGCCGCTACAATGGCCATTATGTCCCGTCCTAGGCTTAACGACACATGCTGTCCTAGATGGTCCATCTTTTCCTCCTCGATCCACTTTAGTAACGCAGCTAGGTTCTCGTAGTCGATCAGGAACTCCGTGATGTTTGCTCCATCGAAAGTCAACTTTTTCTTGGCGTCTGCCAGATAGCCTTGATTTTTGTTTAGTGCTCGCGCAAGGGACGACATTATCTTCTTAAGGCCGCCCTCGGAGCTGCTGGCCTCGCCTGCCATACTGTTATCCGGACTTTCCTTGCCGCCTTTCTGTCCTTCTCTTGCTCGACATTCCTCCACGGTCACTACCTTTATCCCCTTGTCCAGTCCCACCTTGGCTGGCTTTCCGTTCGTCCCGGGGTTCCTCCTGCAGAGGACCTTCTTCGTTCCCAGTCATCATTTCCTTAATCAATCTTGCCTTGTATTCTGCGGTCCTTTTTTCTATCTCGGCTAGTCTGTGCCTCGTATCCGATACCCTTACTTTCTTAGGCATGGCTCCTTCCGATTTTCGTGGGCTTGTCCTATCCTTATTTCTGCCTTCCTTGATCCCCTGGGTCCCTTGCCTGCTTCCCCCAACTTTCCCCGAGCTTTCTCCTGTGGAGATTTCCTTCCGGTTCCCTTAGGTATCATCCGGATTTATCGATTCTCCGTCCTTCTGCCCTCTTCGCTTTGTGCGGCACTGCCTCCTAAGCCTGGTTCTCCTTCACTCTTACGGTTATCTGTCTCCTCCTCCGTTGCCATTTTGCCTAGTTCTGCATTAGCCAAAGAATTCCCAGGACACACCCAATGCGAGGTATTTAGGTTCCCTAGGCTCCCAGCTCTGTTGGCTTATCTTTATAGCCTCCTTTCCTATCCCCGTTTCCTGATTGCCCTTCCTTAAGGAGGAGCCACGACTGGCCCTGCCGCCCAGCCGAGCTATGAACGTGACTGGGCTTCCTTTATCACAAGCTTGTTTGTAGTGCCCTTGTCCCGTCGACCGACGCGAGGGAGTCCGGGTTAGGCATCCTGCTAGGGGAAGTCTTCCCGAGCAGCGTTTCCCGTTTTTGACCTTCAGGGTTATGGTCAATCATTAGGAGTCTGCCACCCGTTCTTTGTTTTTTCTAGTGGATTTTAGCCATCCAGGTCTGAGGCCCCTTCCTTATTCCCATCGGCGAACTTCCGTACGCAGCGAACTATACTAGATCTGTCCTATTGACCCGCCTTCACACCCTGTCCAGTCTAGCCGGGGCGCACAAAACATCAGGATGTGGATGACTTCTAGTAATTCGTGGGCCCTGTTTCCCCAGAATGGCCCGTGCTCCACAGCGACATCGTAGAACATCCCAATGGTAGGGGAGGGAAAGTGGCTTGCCCAGACTATCGCTGAGTCTGCCAGCTCCCGCGCCCTTGCGAGGCTTCCGAAGACGAGGTCTATCATAAAACGGGGCACTCGGCATCTCAGTGGTGTGGTCGGTGCCCTGAACTCCCTCCAACCTCCCATTTCCACCCAGGTTAGCAAGCCCACGTTCCTTCTTCCCCTGACCGATTGTCCTATCCGGGTCAACGTCCGGGCGACCCTTCGAAACACCGGCGCCAGCGCGTGACCTTGTGCTATCTCTACCCCCAACGAGTGCCAACCGATCTCAGGCAGATACATGGTCCCGATAACTTCTAGATTGGAAAACAGATCGTCTCTGGGTCCTCGGTTGAGTCTCATCCCTGTCTACCGACATTCTACCAACATGAAGGCGGCGTCCCTTCCCAAAATCACGGCCCGCCATTCTGTGTCGAACCCCCGATAGGTAGAACTTGACGGGAGGGATACTTCCCATTGTCCACCGTTGTTTCAGGGCGGTCCGGGGTACCGGGGCTGGCGCACACGGGGTTGGCGTTCCACTCGCTCACGTCTTGCTGCCATTGTTACCTTGGTGATTCCCTGCATAGTCCACATAGAAAGGGTTACAGCCAATCTTCAGAATCCGCCCACCTACTGCCTCCCTTGCCTTTCGTGTTTTCATTTTTCTTTTCTTGTCCCAACTATCCCTCTATACCCCCGGGAGCAGTAGCCTCCTCTGGCTGCTCGTACAACCGGTAGAGATCATCTATGTAGGCCGCGCCCCGACCTACCTCTCGCCGGATGACTCTCCACATGGTCTCCTCACTTATTTATGAGACTCCTGGCCTAGTATTTACCGCTGCCCGTAGAATGCAAAGTACCTCGCACCCTTGTTCGTCCCCGAAAGGCCCCATCTGTAGAAAGGCCCGATAGTATTCTCGATACATTAATGCTTCGTCAAAATTTAGCCTAGTTACGGTAGTCACCGCCTGCTCAACTCGTTCTATGCCTCCCATTTGTCTTAGCAGGAAGGGTGGTAGACTCATCCGTATGACCTCATTTGGAAGCTCGAAAACCCCCGCCGCGGCGACTTTTACCTCCGCCGTTACGTCATCTCGTTCCGATTCTGCAAACTCAAACCCCTCCCGCCAGGTTATTTGCCATGCCCCTTCGAACATTCGCACGGGGTCACCCCTGGAAGCCAAAGCAATCCCAAAGGTCCGCCATCCCTCTTCCGACAGGTGTAAGGATCCCGTCGCATATACACGCCCTGGGAGGTTCAAGTCTACGCCCCCGAACTCCCCTCTCGCACGCCATTCCAGCTCTACTACTAGGTACACCGTATCTTCCACCAACTCTACCCCCACCCAGTCCATTACCGGATCGCCTACCGTATTTCTAGCCGGCAGGCTTATTTCAACCCTGCCCTCTGATATTCTTGGTGGCAGGATCCCATGAGGTCTATCCTCCCAGAACGTCATTCGCCGGGCCATCTCGCAATGTCTTCTTCCCTGCTTTCTTAGTCCGATTGCTGCACCCACCGAGATTCCATGCCTTTCGTGTTTTAGTCTTTCAGCCCTCCCGTACACTGGTTCTTGCCGCTATCCACGACTCATACACATACAATTCTACCCCTGCCCCCTTTTTTCGGTTGCTGCCACTTCCCCCTTGTTTCGATCCTTATGCACCATCTACGGACTCCCTTTCTTATGTTACACCTCGATTCACAAGCACCCTCCACACTCAGGCCTTTTCGCGGTGATCGATCCCACGTCCTCGTTTAGTCGAACCACAGCACCTCAAATAGTTTAAGGACATCGTCTATGTAGGAGGGTGCGGCCGCCGCCTCCCGGCTAACTATGGCGTCCCAAGACTCCGCCTCTACCTCTAGGCGGTCATTATTGCCTATTCTTAGGACGATGATGACTTCCTCGGCTTTATCTCTGCAGAAGGGCCCATATTTCAATGAGAACCTATAGAACTCCTCAGTCAGCCAGGCATATTCTATATGCACCTTTCTCATGGAGTCGGCTACTTCCAGAATGTGTTCAAACCCTCCAAACCACTCGGCTATGAACTCTGGTACCCAACCCGTTATCGGTAGACTTCGAGGCTTAAGTTCCTTCCATCCTCCCATCACAACTCTGCTACTGACTTCGTCCCACCCCTCGTTGGCGAACCACTTGCCTTTTTTTCGGGTTCGGGCCTCTGCATCCCCTAGAAGCCATATCGGGTCATGTCCCATTGCTAACATAGTGCAAAACAGGTGCCATCCATCCTCGGAAAAGACAATCGTTCTGATTGACTCTACCTTGCCTTCTGCTATATCATCCCAACCTTCCTCTTCCCTTATCGGGTTTCAAATCCGCTCTATCCATACATATGACAAGTCCCGGGCAACCTCAAACCCAATCCAGTCGCACGTGGTCCCTCTCCATCCGTTTCCTGTTGGTATAGGCATTTCTATTCCTCCTCTGAGTCGCTGTGGTTCCCAACCTTTGAAGGTGTATTCCATCA